CTCAGATTTTTGGTTTATATAACCTGATGGTGGTGCCAATAACTGGATTTTTCCAAACCTGCAATAATATGACCTCAGTTTTGATTTCTAAACACCTTGTCCATATTTTCTCCAGTGGCATCAGAAAAGTCTCTCTATTTCTGACCACTTTATGCAATTCTCTCCAGTATTATGGACTGTAATGATCTTACTTGTATACAATGTATTCGTGTATCTTAAAACTGCCTCAAATTTTCATGCATGGAGACAAGGTTGAAATAAAATCATTCATAGCTTATTGACATCATTAAAATGTCTACATCTAACATGGTTCCATTAAATTTTACTGTATTTCGTAGAATTAAATGTATGCACAGTTAGAAGTTTTATGAGTTTTCTGCGAGTTAGTAAACTCATGAAAGTATTGATCTGATCTGATTATATCTAGGTGCTGAAAAGGGGAAGGAAACCCTAGAGCTTTAGATAAGGATAATAATAGGACAGACATATCCTATGTGAGTTTTAAATTTTAACACAAATAAAAACAATTTTGATTGAAAATAACTTAGAGCTTATTTTTTTGGAAAGTATATCAACTCTTAAGCAAGAGTCAAAACAATTTATGATGGGTATATTCATGGTGCTTATGTATAAAACTATATAACATCACATCTTTGGAAGATCTACATATTTCATTGTAAATTTGAGTTGAGTGAAGTTTATGAACAAAATATGTCTACCTTATAATTGGCAGTAGGTTAGATAGGTCTAAAGTCTTGGCAACTCTACCAAATGTTCATCAAATTAAGAAACCATTAACATGCCTTCCATTTTCCATAGAAGAAAGTGAAAATGGACATTGCAATTCAAGAAACAAGATTCAGCTTAATCTTTCAGGGTAAATACCTGGTTTATTTTATAATAGAAAAATAGCAATATCACTTCTAGATCTCCAGAACTGTCTTTTAAAATTGCAGGAATAACATCTTATTGTCTGAAAATCTCTAAGTAGCCAGTGTCTGTGCAAAACCAAAAGGGGTTTCCTTTGTTGCAAATAGAGAATTTGCCTGTGACAATTCAGCCAATTCTTTACATAATAGCTGGATCTGGCCATGTAGTGGGAAGCATACCTTACTATGCATGCAAGTAATAAAGAAGCTACTCAAAACTGTGATGTCATGGGATTGTAAATAAAAGAAGACTGCTGAGAGGATAAAGTGCGATGAATTTTTCAAAAGTATGCAAAGTAGAAAATATAAACTGTTTGGAAGAACTGAGTCCAGTCTACAGATCAAACTGTTGCCAGAGTTCTTATAGAAGATGAGAAAACAGGGTATTTTATCACATTTATTTCAGAGGCAAACTCCCAAGCCAATTTACTACCCTTCACTAAAAAACCTGGAAAATGTTTTGGAGAAAATTTGAAGATGTATCTATTTATCCATGTCTTTTTCTGTCTACTTTTCCATCCATCTGTTCATCCACCTATACCCATCAACTCTTCCATTCACCTACCTACTGATCACCCCCTCTTACTTGGGATATGGTCCCATTGGGCGCTTTTAATTTTTCTTTAACAGTTGTGTTTCTTATTAAATAGCATCATTGAGCAATTATTCTAGTGAATCTGTAATGAATTTCTTCATGAATCTGATATTTACATTTAAAGCTTACATTTTCCAGTAAAACATAATCCCCCCTTTCTCATAACATTTAATTCTTAAGGTTACATTACGAAAGTAGCCAAAATTCACTTGCAGCTCTTAGATGGTTGCTAAAGAAAAGCAGCATGATTCATTCCTGTAAAAAGAATGCAAATCTTATTATTGCTTTTTCCAAATAAACTTGTGTCCTAATTAATTGACTTTGTATATAATTAGTGTCTGAAATAGTGCTGGTAAACATGGAACAAATGCTTATACTGAAAGTAATGGTGTTTTCCATTTTACAGATGAGGAACTTGAGACACTATGTCCACTTGTCCACTATGACTAAACTATCAAGAACATCAGGCCAATGCACTTTTCTTTATAATCCCCAGGATTTCATTCTAGGCCTTGTAAAGACACAAAAGAGATTGTTATGGCCTGAATGTTAATGTTGAAACCCATAATATGCATACTGAAATCTAATCCTCAATTAACTAACATTAAAAAGTCAGGAATTCAGAGAGGTGATTGAATCATGAGGGTTCTGCATTTGTGAATGGAATTAGAGACTTATTAGCTTCTTGGTCCCTACCATCACATGAGGATACAATAAGAAGTTGTTGCCTATTTATTTTTTTAATAGAAGTCTCCTAATGGAAACACTGAATCTGCTGGCATCTTAGAATTTCCAGCTACTAGACATAGGAAACAAACTTCTGTTATTAGCTACCTAGTCTACGAATATATGTTACAGCAATCCAAACAGACACAAGAGGCCTCATCTTCCAGAAGACATGCATGCACAACGCACCAAGATATATACATATATAAAACTGTTTTCTTTTAATGAGGTACATGAAGGATGGAGAAGACACGAACGAGAGTTGAGGTGATTGGAGAGAGATGTGTAAGGAAGGAGAGCCAAGATTTAAAACGTGGAGACAACCTGAGGATTGGGGCAGATATGTTTCAAATCCTAGCAATGGCCATGCTCCACTCTTCACTCCCTACCCTTTATTTTGGAGGAAGACATTCTGCTTCCAGTGTTTGGTCACTCCTTTGATCTGGTGAAGCTAGGACTAGTAACAGATGGCTCTGGTTCCTGCTCTGTTCCCTGTAGTTTGTCTATGCTATCTCAATCCTAGTGTAAACAAAGCCTGTATCTGTTGTTGGAATATCAGTGCTGGTCCAAGAGATGCCTTCAGAGGAGGGAGAAAGAAATGGACAAATAACTGAATCCTGCCTGTGGAGTCTCGTCTCCTGATTTCATCAATGGCAATGTTTAAAAGTACAAGGGTTTTGTAGTAATGAAATCAGCTTAAAGCGATCACTGGTACTAAATTAGTCATAAATAGATGTATAAGTGATACAATCATGTACAAAGTTGGACAAAGCAAAGAAATACTAACAGGTTAGATGGGTATTGTAAAACAAGGTACTTATCAAGTATACCAGGTTCCATCAGGGTGAGAGGAGGCCTGCTGTCCATGCCAGCTTTATCACTGAGCCCCTACCCCCACCCCCAGCCACTTTTTGGATAGCACAAAAGCCTCCTGACACACTCTGAAGTTTTTATAAATTTCAAGTATTGTGACAGATTTCCATGGATTAAATTCTCTAATTTTAATATAATATATTCTAACATGACTGTACAGACTCATCATAATTAAGCTGGAATGTTGTGGGAGAACAGGATGTGTTTATTGCAAAACAAACAAACAAAAAAAACCCCATCCTTCCATAAATCAAATGTGCAACAGCTGTCTGGTCTTTGAAAGGAATTATCTCTTTTGTCCTAAGATTAGCAGGGTTGCAGAGGAAAGAAAGGAATTAACTATGATAATCAGTTCAAGTCACCCAGTAATTTCTGCAATGAAATAGTCCAGCCATATTTGGAAATTATCACGAAAACACTCAGCTTTTTAGGTGAATTATTATTGAATTTATATTAACCCTTGGGCTGAGTATCTAGGGAGTATTTTTTTTTAAGTTGCTAATGTAAAAAGATATGCTACTGATCTCTTAATCTGATCACATTCAGCAAGAGTTATTTGCCCTGGGGTCTGAGCTACGTGGTAATAAAATCAAGGGACATAAAAACTGTGGCAGGAACAGTACTGAAATTGGAGAAGCATCATTATGAATAGCAACAAGTATGGAGATGCATATGTAAGAGGGTAACTAGAGTCAATATAACACTATTCTTCCATGATTTAGAGTAAATAGATAGTTATGGCTCATCTGCTGGGTAGATATTTATGGATTATTATCCAGTATATTATGGAAGATAAGCCTGGTTAAAAACAAATAGAGGAAAGAGCAAATGGCACAGGCAGGCTTTTAGGAAGGCCATCATTTGTAATATTTCTCAGGAAAATCTCTTTCAGAAATTCCTCAGCATAGCTAATGTGCCATAGAAGGACTCTCCATTTTAGGAGTGCATAAATCCACATAAATTGCTATAATAAGGATTCATCCCACAGCCCTTTTGGCATAAATGCACATCTGGTCTCTGTTTGTAATGAAATCAATTCAAAGCCCCACAGTGCATTAATAATAAAAATGTTCAACATATTGCAACCAAATAAGCCCTGCAAATTCAAGTCTGCAAGATTCTGTCACACATGTGTGTATTTTAGCACTGATAAATGATTAGGTTACAGAATATTTTTCAAATGACTTAAGATTCGAAAGGTAGAATTTTTTATTATTATAATTATTATATTTCCCACAGGAAAATCCATATGTATGTATGCTAGGCATTTTGCTTGCTTGATTTATAAAGCCTTGTAGACTTTTATATCCCTAGCTCACAAAAGCATAGAAATTTTATTAATAATACAGTTATTGTAAGCTGTACTAGCCTAGCTTAGAGGAAACTCATGGATTTGCATTTTTAAAACAACTGAATTCTGCAGCCTGGACAGAAAAGTCATTGAGACTCCATCTCAACAGAAAAACAGATGGGTGGGATGGTGTATGCTTGTCATCCCAGTTAGAACAGAAAGCATAAAATAAGCAAATCGTATCTCAGTGCATGCTTGGAGAAAGCTGCAAGATCTTATCTCAAAAATAACCAACTCAAAGAATGGCCTAGAGCATGCTTCAGCAACAGAGCACCTGCCTATCCAAAGCAAGGCCCTAAATTCAAGCTCCCTAGTGTCAAAACAAAGAAAACAATAACAACAAACAACTGAATTCTAGAATAGAACCTAGCACATTAGAAGTTGTCTTTAAATCTGAAAGAAATATGAGAACGATATTCCATATTCATTTAAAAAATACCTTGGTTTTTGCTTTCTGCAGTTATAATCAACAACTGCAAAGGATGTAGATTTAATAAAGCCTTCCTATACTGTTCTCCAGATTTACCTTCTGTGTTATGTGATTGACCCAAGGAGAAGAACAGTTGCTGAGGTCTGGTCCCTGGGGATCCCAGATTCCATCCGGAGCAAGGCAAAGGTAAGTTGACACACCTGCAATATGGAAATAAATATGTCCATTTCAAAAAGTCCATTTTCATTAGCATGATTTCATATCCTTAATATGCTTAAAGATAAGCCACAGCAGATATGATATATAATTTAATTGAGATAATGTCCATTAAATGTCAGACACAGTGCCTGGCAAGCAGCTGGCATAGAACAAATGTTATAAACACAACCACTGGATATATTAAAGCACTGGTGGGCAACTCTGCAGGCCTTGGGGAAGAAATGCATGGATGGTATCCAAGTGCAACCTGACTTCAGGTGCTTATTGGTGAATTCTGCGGAGCCAAGACAATAGTTGAGTCTTAAAGAAATCCATTTACAGGGGTATTGTTTGCTTCCTGAAAAGCAAAATCCTGAAGAAAATTTCAAGAAGAAAATGATGCCGTAATGGTGAGGTCAAGGTTTTTAACTGAAGTTATCTGAGAGTGTATTGCAAACATCTGGAAAGGGAGGTCTAGAATCAGCACATAAGGTCCTGTGTTGTCATATATATGTGTTCTGGGAAAACAGTGAAGACCCTTATGAAGAAAAGGGAAGTGAGTAGATTTAGGCTTTAGAAGGAAAACTCTGGTGGCTGAATGTAGGATGAATTTGAAGGTAAGATGGAGAGACTGGCAAGAAGCAATGGCTATAATTCAAGTGAAAAGAAAGAGAAAAGAAAAGACAAAAAAATTAAAAGACAGGACCAGACCAAAGCAGAGTAAATGGTAAAAGGAGAAAGAAAAAAAAAAAAAAAAGAGGACTATAACCTTTAAGACTGTTGATGGCTTCAGAGGGTTTGCTTTAAAACCTGTCCCCAATTTTCACAGGACAATAATGACATATATTGGTAGTGCAAAGTGCTTTCAAATAAAGTGTTTCCCTAATCTTCAAAAGAAATCTCTCAAGTAGGGAAGCTATTATTACTTCTCTTAGAGATGAAGGAACTGAGTCTCTGAGCAAAGACAGAAGACATCATGAATGACTGATTTCAACACCACAGAAAACTTTAGAAATGACCTTTGTTCTCTTTTTCAAAAATGGAAGTAAAATGCTGAATATTTTTTAACTATTTTCTAAAGATAAATATGCACATTTATATAAATCAATATACTCTGATGCTCCTCCCACTCTAATATTTCATAAAATTTGGAATAGTGTGTCCCCATATTGGAACTTTTATATAAATGGTATCTCTGTTAAAAAAGGAATAAAGGGAATAAAGGAAATAAAGCAATTGTTTCTGGGATGTTTCTGCCAAATATTATTTTAAGAAGATCATTGTATATAGCAATGGTGAAATTGGAATATTTCTGTCTTCAAATGGTAAGTAACGATGTGATTGCAATTTGGGAAGATAAGTTGAATCCATAGTAGAACAAGTGAAAGGCTTTCTAGTTCTTAACTGTTCCCTGCAAATCTGGCTTATAGAGATTGGTTTTTGACACTGTTGAGAGTCTTTGAGCATTAAGATATTATGGTGACTGGTAGAGATGGCTAGCTTGCTATTTGTATAATACGAAGAGGTGGTTCAGTGGCCATCATCTCATCCAGATATATTCTACTTAATTTTCTACAACCAATACTGACCACAGCTGGAATGTTGCAAATAGAGGCGACTAGCAGGAAGAGGAAAGAGGAGGTAGATGAGAAAGGAGTCCAGGCATTAAGTTTCATTGTAATTTGATTCCAAGACTTGGCACTGCCTGAAAAGTAAGGATCGCCCAGAAACTCCTGCCAAACTTTCACCTGTCACTTCCACAGGTTGCATTTTCTGCCTCTGAAATATATTGCTTTCACTGTAATTTAGCTGAGTTCAGATTACAATACTAAAATAGGTAGTTAATAGGAATCAAAAGGGGAAAAAAAGGACAAGAGAAGAGAAGAAAAAAAATCCTAGAAAAGGAAGTCAAAATAGTAACAACAACAACAACAAAAGTCACTTTCAACTTTGTGGACTGGACAGGTTTACCTATGGTTCCTGCAGGACATGGCTGCTTTGCTACTTGTCCTTGACGAGTCTTAAACCACATGATTTCCCTGGCTTCCACAGCCTCACAGCTCTCTTCCTGAGCTGGGATTTGGGAGGGTGCTGAGGGCAGGTGTGTAGTGACATCATCAAGTAACTCTACAGCTGGAGATGGGGTGCTGGTACTCCGGTTTCTCCTTCCAGGTACTGATGGGGTGGTGCTACGTCCTGCACTCCAGGTTGTGGTCCGAAGGGTGGTACTGGTGGTTGTACTACCCATTCCAAGAGGGCCTGTGGTAGACATTCCTGAAAGAGAATTAGAGAGAACACCTACATTGGTTGTTCACACTAGGATTGCAGGATGACCCTATAGTGTAGAAACAATTTGTCTGTGACAGTTAAAAGAGTTTTTAGACTCTAAAAATCCTTTACCTCATTTTCACTTTAAAGATGGCAAAAGAATAAAAATAATAAGATACCAGACTGGCACTTGAGTACCAAAACAGCCATTGACCACTGCCAAACATAGACTGGGTCCTCAACTTTAATCATACAAAACAAAATTATAGCAAAACTCAACTCTAGAGTAAGCTTCTTAAGACTCTCAGCCTTTTGGACAATTAGAGGATTAAATCCTTAAGCCCTCTACTTAGAATGTTCCAACTTGGCATAGAAACAAAAAAGAATTGTATACTATTATATACAAATCTTTGTTGACACTAGGCAAGATGATTTTCTAAATCTGAAAGAAATAGGTAACAAGCAAAAGGAAAAACAAAACAAAACAAAAAATAAACAAGCAAACAAAACCCAGACACCAAAGCACCCACAACCTAAAAAAAAAAGAGACAGAGAGCAACTCTGCATATAATTCCCTTATTGCATATTAGAGTGTTGATCTATCCTAACTCTTGACAAATAATCCTTGTTAACAAAGCTTTAAAACTTGATAATTATTGGTGTAAGTACAAACAGTTAGTTCCCAAGACATTATGCTTCTAATTTACTTTTTCTAAGTTCCAATATAAAGTAGCTAGAGTTTTTGATAAGATATAAGAAGTTGTGAACCTATACCTCCTAATGGTATCATTTTAGACAATTCTTTTTCTGGAAAATAAAATTCATGTTTATATCATAGGACTGCAAAACTACACCATTCTAGGCATGAATTACTAATTGTAAGAGCTAAGCTCTTACAAGACAAGCATTAGCATTCAAGCTTATAATCTTAGCTACAGAAAGTTGAGATTTAAAGGATCAAGTTTCAAAGTCAAACCCAGGCACAAAAAATCTATGAGATTCCATCTCCAATTATCAAGCAAAAACTAGGACTGATGACTGATAGTATGGCTCAAGTGGTAGATCACCAGCCAAGTGAGTACAAAGTTCTCAGTTTCATTATCAGACTTGGCAATTGTTTTTTTTAAGTAAAACTAATACTGTCATTCTACTATCAATATATTTAGGGGCATTGTCTCTACCCTGGTACACTGTCACTCACAATTAAAAATGGATAGATAGCCCTTTGATGAGCTTCCAGCTTTATTTAGAGGAGGTTAAGTATCATATACCAGAAGACACATCTTCACAAAATCTTTGCTGCCTTTTAAAGAGTCCCAGGTGTATCCCAGTGCATTTGATGTATATAAAACTTTTAAATCTAGCAGAGATACTTTAGGGGCAGAGAGTATTTTACTGTTACCAGAAGTTATGTCATCTGGTTATGTCCTTTTGTCCTTTGTTTTCCCTCCCTCCCTTCCTTCTCAACTATCCACTCTCTGTCTGCTTTCCATGAGAAACAAAGGGAAAGGTGGAAGGGAAGGTAGTTCCTAAGGACATCTACTCCAAATGCATACAAGAAGCCCAGTGTCTTTCTTAGCTTTCTTCTTTGTGGACTGTATACTCAAGACAACTTTTGTTGATTTTGTGGCAATACACTATGTGAAATCCATCTATTTTCATCTCTTCCCAATCACCACTATCTACATTGAATTCACCATCATTAATGAATAAATACATCCTCTTTCTTTCCTTCCTTCCTTCTTTCCTTCTTCCTTTCTTCCTTCCTTCCTTCCTTCCTTCCTTCCTTCCTTCCTTCCTTCCTTCCTTCCTTCCTTCCTTCCTTCCTTCCTTCCTTCCTTCCTTCCTTTCTTTCTTATTCTGCTAGAAGCAATAACAGATAACAGTTTGGGATTTTAAAAAGAAAACAATTATTGATCCTAAAGACATGACACAATTCAAACACAAAACTCAAAAATTTATTGCAGAAGGACTGGGAAGGTGGCTCAGTGATAGACTGCTTGCCTTGCACGCATGAGGCCCTGGGTTCGATTCCTCAGCACCACATAAGCAGAAAAAGCCAGAAGTGACACTGTGACTCAAGTGATAGAGTGCTAGCCTTGAACAGAATTGCTGAAGGACAGCGCCCAGGCCCAGAGTTCAGGCCCCATGACAGGCAAAAAAACAAAAACAAAAAACAAACAACAAAAACCCCCAAAACAAACAAACAAAAAATCCTGTTGCAGAATATTACATGAAATTTCTATTTAAAGTTATAAATGATTGGGATGGGTGGTGAGATAAGTGATAGATGGTTTAACTCCCATATGCAAGGCTTAGGCTCTAATCCCCAACTCCTAAAGGAAAACAAGACAAAAAATAATAAATAATAAGCTAGGCATAGAGATTTCTGATTGTGATCCCTTCTACTAGGAGCCAGAGATAAGAGGATCACAAGCTCAAGGTCAGTTGAGCAAAGTTATAGAGTCTCTACCTCAACAATTAAAAAAAAAAAATAAGAAAAAGAGTTGGAGGAATGCAATGAGGGGTAGAATATGTGTTTGATTCTCAACCTCACAAAAAAAAGCTATAAACAATAAAAATAGTATTATATGTATATTACATGGGAATATGTTAATGCAGTATTTCATAAACATTAAATAAGATCAGAATACTTAATAAATAGATTAAAGCAGAATTAAGGAAGTGGAAAAACCTCCCATGCTCCTGGATAGGGAGGATTAACATCATGAAAATGGCAATACTGCCAAAGGCTATCTACAAATTCACCATTAATATCTCAATTTCATTCTTCAATGAAATAGAAGAAGCAACACCAAATTCATATAGAACAATAAAAGAACCCAAATAGCAAAAGCAATCTTTAGCAGAAAGAACAGTGCTGGAGGAATATCAATATCAAATTTCAAACTCTACTACAAAGCCATTGTAATCAAAACAGTTTGGTACTAGCACAAGAACAGACCTGAAGACCAATGGAATAGAATTGAAGACCCCGAAATGAACCCACAGACCTATAGCCCCCTAATCCTCGATAAGGGAGCTGAAACATTAAAATGGAAGAAAGACAGCATCTTCATTAATGATGCTGGCCAAATTGGTTAAACACCTGCAGAAAACTAAAACTAAATCCTTATATATCACCCTGCACCAGAATCAACTCCAAATGGATCAAAGACTTGGCAGACAAAGCAAACACCCCGAAAACATTACAGGAAGGAATAGGAAAAACTCTAGGGCTTCTTAGCACAGGCCAAAATTTTCTTAATAAAGACCCAGAAACACAATAAATAAAAAAAGGCTAGACAATTGGGATTGAATGAAACTGCAGAGGTTCTGCATGACAAAGGACATAGCTAGCTAGATCAACAGAAAGCCCATGGATTGAGAGAAGATCTTCCCTAGCCATACAACGGACAAGGGTCTCATATCTAAAAGATTCTTGTGACTCAAAAACAAGAACAAACCCTCAAAGAAACAACTGTCTGATAAATAAGTGATCTAAAGACTTAAAGAGAGACTTCTGAAGAGGAAATAACAATGGCCAATAGACACATGAAGAAATGCTCAATCTCTCTTGCCATAAAAGAAATGGAAATCAAAACAACATTGAGATTCCACCTCACCCCAGTTAGAATGGCTATTATCAAGAAATTGAATGACAACAGATGTTGGAGTGGATGTGGTCAAAAGGGAAACATTTACTGCTTTGTTGGTAGGAGTGTAAACTTGTTCAACCACTTTGGAAATCAGTATGGAGATTCCTCAAAAGAGTCCACATAGAGCTCCCTCATGACCCAACCCAGCAATCTTACTTTTGGGCATTTACCCAAAAGATCAAAAATAAGGCCATACTAAAGCTACCAGCACAACTATGTTTATTACAGCATTATTTACCATAGCTAAGCTATGGAACTAACTCAGATACCCCTCAGTAGATAAATGGATGAAGAAAATGTGATACACACACACACACACACACACACACACACACACACACACACACACACACACACACTGGAATTCTCTGCCTCCATCAGAAAGAATGGCATCGCCTCATTTGTTAGGATATGGAAAGAGTTGGAAAAAAATATTAAGTGAAGTAAACCAGACCCAAAGAAACATAGGTCCCGTGGTTTTCCTTATTTGCAATAACTAGTATATGTCTAGGACAAGCAGAAAAGGTCAAAAGCTATGTACATATGACCATATAAGTTAATGCTAAATGAAATGAACCCCAAGATAGGGACACACAGGTTTTACCTTTCTTGCTGTTATTTTTAATGTACTTATAATGTACTATGTGATTTTTTTTGTTTCTTTTGTATGTTCTTCCCCCAGAGTATAACCCCTGATTTCACTGTATTTAATTCCAGTGCCCTACATCTTGTATATACATTTTTCTAATTTGGGGAGGGGAAGGGAAATAACAAAATGCTGAAATAAGGATACTGGTTGACACATTGTAGCAATGAGATGTACAAGACACTATTTTGAAAATGAACATTATAACTTCAGGCAGGCAAAGTGAGGAGGAGTTGGGGAAGTGGAGAGGGAAGGAATGGTAGGAATAAAACAAAGGAGAGGTAAATAATACTCTAGAGGAAAATGTACACATTACTTTATGCATGTAACTGTAACCCCTCTGTACAGTATCTTTGCAATAAAAAATATATAAAATAATATTTAATAAATTGAAAATAAATCACTTGACCCTTTTCACTGTTATCTGTAAAAAAAGGCACAACAATGATGACACTGCTGGTATGTAAAAATGTTTTTGTTCAAATATTTTTTAGATGATGAAAAGTTCTTTTCAATTTCTCAACACCAAGGGGAGTAATAAGGCAGCAGTTAAAATCTTAACACCAAGTGTTTTCTCAGACTCAAAAGATTAATTTAAATAATACCAGCTTCCAATGATAATTGTGTTGACCATTTTGAATAATTTTATATTTCTTGACAGGTGCTACAGTCCTTTCATTGATACCCAGCTCTCGTTCATT